TTGAAAATGCATAGAGACCAAAGTTTATTAATGGTGGTTACCAAGGGTAGTAGGGAGGGGAAGAGGGGAAGTCATTGCCTAGGGGGCACTTAATTTTTGTGATAGGTGATGGAAAAACTTGGAAATGGACAGTGGTAATGGTTGCATAATATGATGAATGTAATTAATCTCCCTGAATTATACATGTAAAAAAGTCAAAATCACAAAACTGTTGTTGTTGTTTAAATGATATTTTATTGTGTTTTTGGTGAAGGTTTACACAGCCGTTTACTTTCCCATTCAACAACTTCTATACAAGTTGTTCAGTGACATTGGTTACATTCTTCATAATGCATGAACATTTCTGTTCTGCTTGTTCTCTTTCCACTGATCTAGTTTCCCTGTCCCCTTACCTTCTCATCTTTACTTTAAAGTAATTATTCCTAATTTGGTTTTATACAGATTATAGGTCTCAGATGACTTTTTTTTTTTAATTTTTATTGTGATTTGGGTGCAAGTTTACAGCACATATTCATTTTCCATACAGCAGTTCACATATACTTTGTCTCGTGACATTGACTGCAATTTCCCACAATGCAACAGCTCTCTTCCCACTTCCTCCACATAGTTACCTCCTTCCTGTGTCCTTACCTCCCACGCATTAGGTCTCAGATGACTTCTGCAAATGTTTTGTTATATATATTTGTGCTACATGCACAGGCACACACAAATCAATAGTAAATAAATAAATAAGGCAGCCTTGAAGAAAAGAAGGGATATTATGAAAGATCAACTTACAGACCCAAGGGACTATAGAGAAAGAAGGTATTTATTTAAAATATGTTTAGAGATTTCCAGTTATTCCATCAGCCTGAGGAAAACATTTATTATTATGAAATACTTCAAGCAAACAAAAATACATATAGAATAATTTTTGAAAACATGTTATCTCCCATTTAGTTTTGTTAAATCTTAATTTTTTGTTATAATTCCTTCAGCTTTTTTTTTGAAGTATTAAGGTATGTGCAGATAAAGCTGAAGTTTCCTGTACATTTCTCCCTAATTTCATGCCCCCCTCTAGTATACACCCTACACTTGGTTGTGTTTATATTTCTACCTCATTGCTATGTATCCCTAAACAATAGATACTACTGTTTTGCAAATTTTAAAACTTCATGTAAATTGTATTATCTGTATATACCTTTCTGACTTTTTCTCTTCACCATTATTTTTGGGGATTTATCAATCTTATACATGTAGCTCCACTGGATTCATTTTAACTGCAGTGTAGTGTTCTACTGTACAAATATGCCCAATACATTTATCTATTCCCTTATTGGCAGCTACTAAAAATAGTTCCAATTTTTCATATATTTGACAACACTGAATAAGCATTCTTGTACATGTCTCCTTATAACTGATGTATTTTGATTTATTTCTATCATCTTATGCTTCCTATTTACTCCTTTTTCCTATGCTTTTTTCCCCTCCTTGCCTGAACATACTTTATTTCACTTCCCTGCAGTACTGATTTTGGAAGTTAATGTATCCTGTTACTGTTTGTTATTATTCTAAACTTATAGACTGCTAATTGTTCCCTAGTATCTGTTCTCCCTTTTTCTCTCATATAAATAGAACCCCCAACTTTTAGCTAAGCACATGCTTGCCCAGATTAAAGACTACATTTCTCAATCTTTTTTGCAGCTGGATGTAAGCCTGTGAATAAATTTTGGCACATGAGATATGAGCAAAAGGAATGTATACAACCTTTGGGTCATGTGCTGAAAAGGAAGGGGTTGGAATGTAGGCATCAGCGTGAACTATCTTCAAATATGCAGACGGCTTCATCTTAGAGCTGGACTGCTTATGTCTGGAACATTACATAAGAAAGAAAGAAACAGCTATCTGGTTTAAGAAATTGCTATTTTGGTTCTTTTTACAGCAGCCAAACTATGGTGCAGCTAATACACTAGATGTGGATTTTACTCTCACTTATCCTGCTTAGGGAGCTCTGGTAGCATAGTGCCTAAGGCACTTGATTGCTAACCAGAAGCCTGGTGGTTCCAACCCACCAGCCACTCCTCAGAAGGAAGGTTGGGCAATCTACTTCCGTAGTGATACTGCCTCGGAAACCCAAGGAGGGGTCACTATAAGTCAGGGCCAACTCGATGGCACATAACAACAATAACAATATCCTGCTTAGACTCATTCTGCTTCCTCAACCTGACATAGATCCTATCTTTCATCAAGTTTGGAATCTTTTTAGCCATTATCTCTTCAAGTAGTTCCCCTCTTTCATTCTCTTCTCTATTTCTAGAATCTTATTTGGTGTCTACAGGATTTCTCATTCAAGAATCCATGTCTCAGCCTCTGTATCTCTTTGTGCTGCATGCTCGGTGATTTCCTTAGGGTTATCTTTCTGATCACTAAGTCCGTCTTCAATGGTGTCTAATTTGCTGTTTGTCCATTGAAAATTTAATTTCAGTGACAATTTCTAGAAACTTCTACAAGTTCTATTTGGTCTTTTTCAAGTCTGTTTGATCTTTTGGATGGTATCTTGTTCTTTTCTCATATTTTAAATTTCTTCTCTATGTCTTCAATAGTTTTAAGTGCATTTTATTTTATAGTCTCTTGTCAGCTTTTCTGTTATCTGAAGTTCCTGGGAGTCTAGTTCAGTTGTCTGTACATATGGACTTTCACTCATTGTAGATCATTTCCTCAAATAGTTAACTTTAATTAAACATTCATTTACACTAAGTTTTTTTATTCAGGAGCCCTGGTGGCACAGTGATTAAGCACTCAGTTGCTAAGTGAAAGGTAGCCAGTTTAAACCCACTAGTCACTCTGCAGGAGAAAGCTGTGGCAGTTTGCTCCTGCAAAGATTTATAGCTTTGGAAACCTTAGTGGGCAGTTTTACTCTATCCTACAGGGTTGCGATGAGTTGGAATTGACTCAGTGGCAATAAGTTTGGTTTCTTTTTTTAAAGGCTTTTTTTCTGTGAGGATCCTGTGTATGTGAGTTGAAGTCTTGGTTCTCTAGAGAGGTTTTGTGTCTGTTTCTATAAGGTTTCTTAGGGGTATACTGGCCCAGAACATAAACCACCTAGGGACGATAAATTCTAATGTTAAACTAATGCTATCGTCAGGTTCTCAGGAGAGACTTTTCCTTCATTTCTGTTTCTTCTACCCAGAGCCTTGGCCAAGTCTGAGGAAGTTTTTCTGCCCTCTCCCTGGGCTGTGATTTTCTTTTCTTTGTCTACCCTTTTATTTAAGGTAAAGCCTACATTGGACTTTGATATTCTAGACTTTAAATGAAAATCTGTTTCAACTCCAACTTTCAACTGGCCAGACCTCATCTCTGTCTCCGCAGATGTTAAAAATCAAATCTCAAACCCTGCATTACTACAGGGAGGCCAGCCAGCCCACTCTACCCTGCTCAGCTGCCAGACTTGAGGATCATTCTGTATCTTCCTCTTAGTTTTGCCCCCTGAGGACTTCTCTTACTATTTTTAGTGCTCAACTCTACATTCGAAAGGGTATTTTAAATATTTAATCTAGTATTTCTAAGTCTTTCATAAAGTGTGGGGTTTTATTTATTTTCTTTTCCACATTACTAGAAACAGAAGTTTTCTCTCCCCTGAAATATGTTTTAAGACCAGTTGGCTGAGCTGATCCTCAGTCTTTCCTTCCCTTCTACCCCTCCCTCCAATACCATCTCCTAAGGCAAGACCCTCAAACTTTATAGTGTACAAAACAATTATCTGGGAGTATGTTAAGCAGGTTTTTAGTGGCATGCCTGGAGACTTAGATCAAGGGAAATGGAGTAGAGGCCAGGAACATACACATGTAACAAGCACTCCAGGTGATGCAGGTGATCCTAGGACCACACTTTGAGAACCAGTAGATAAGTATGTGCATCCCTTTCCCTGAAGTGGCTGAAGTCTTCTCTTCCTCTTAGCAGTACCTCCAGGCATCTACATGAACCCTAATAGTCTCTGTTCCACAAAGTATGAACTAGGAGACAGCACTGCCAACAGACCTAAGGTTCACGAGTTCTAGTCTAGGCTAGTCCAGGGCCACTCTCTTCAGCTACAGAAATGCAAAGATGACACCACTGGTTTGTCTTCCTGGGGGACAGGGTTGTGGGGCCATCAATACAGTGGATCATGTATTCAGGCCTAACAAATCAAGACTTTGACATTATTTGGAGAAAAGTGGGCTAAATTTTACCTTTGTATTATAAAGGGGTTTGCTAAGCAGATGGATACTATAAGCAAAATTATGGAAAGAATGGCTGACTCACTTAAGATATAAATATATAAAGTGTAGGTCTCCATTTTCTGGAGGGCCTATGTTCTAAAATATCTCTGTAAGTTAGCTGCTGGCAATGTATCTTCCCATAGAAACATTAGCAATGGTGGTCAGTTTCCCAGACCAGCCCATAAAGCCTGTACAAATAATAATCGTTCCCATTTAAGAACTCATTCCATGCCAAGACCGCATATAATCCTCAAAATAACTCGAAAAGGTAAATGTCTTATATCCCTGCCTTAGAGATGAAGGAACTTGTCCATAGCCACACAGCTAAGAAGCAGCAGAACCAAGAGGGTCTGGCTCTAAAGCTGGTGTCCTTGTGGTGATAGACAGTGGGCAGTAAGGTGGAGATTTTCATTCTTCTCTTTCAAAACATCCTCCTCCTCATTCACATTGAGGAAGAACTGTTAAAGGAATAATAGAACCTCCACTGCAGCCATAAGCACCTCACAAGATGATAGAGGACCAAGAGATGTGTATCACTGCTTTGTTGTGCCACACAAAGAAGCAGAGGGGGAAAGAATGCAAGATGACTGTTCAGTAAACTGCTTTCATTTTGGTCTTTGGGAAAACAAAAAAAAAACAAACTACCTGAGTTTCATTTTGTGTGTATGGAAAAGCCTTTCACTGAAAGTTCACTTTCTCCAACTCTTCCTTTCAAAGACCTCTGCAGTCAGGCTGCACAGCTACTTGCCCTTTGGGACTCACCTTGTCAGCCAGCAGCTCCCTTATCTTGCTTGCCTGTAGGCGGAACCGGAAAAGCTGGGTCTCCAGGGCCAGGCAGCGTTTCTGCCAGTCCACAATGGCCCGGGTCTCCACCTTGAGTTCCGCCATGATGGATCCAACTTCTGAATATTCCAAAGAGCCCTGAGAACCAACACACAAAGAGAAGAAAACATAAATAAGTAAATGTGTGAGAAGAGTCATGTGGGGAAAGCAGAAGGAGGTCAGAGGAGTCAGAGAAAACAGGGTTGGAGAAGGGAAGTTAGTCCTTAGTTCATTCGTTTCCCTCTGTTCCACTCCCACCTGTTGTAGCCCAGCAGCCAGCGCATCAAAGTTAGCGGGAATCATGAGATTGAGTTAGAAAAAACTTAAGGAGAATCTACTTTTATTTCTGCAGAAGTGAAGAGTAAGACTCATTTGTTTATTCATTCAGTCATCCATTTAACAAATATTTAGTCATTCAACAAATATTTAAATGCCAGACACTGTTCTAGGCACTGAAGATACAAAGGTAAAGAAGAGAAGTCCCTTGTCTTTGAGTTTTTCAAGAAACTTGTTATTGTGGTTTTTGTTGTTAGCTGCCATTCAGTCAGTTCCGATTGACAGCAACTTTATGCACAACAAAAGGAAACACTGTCTAGTCCTCTGCCATCCTCACAATCATTGTTATGTCTGAGCCACTGTGTCAGTACATCTCGTTGAGGATTTTACTCTTTTTCTCTGCCCTCCACCTTACCAAGCATGACAGCCTTCTCTAGGGACTGGTCTCTCCTGATAACATGTTCAAAGCACCTGAGACGAAGTCTCACCATACTCACTTCTATGGAGCATTCTGGCTGTACTTCTAAGATCTCTTCGTTCTTCTGGCAGACCATGGTATATTCAATATTCTTTACCAATACCATAATCCAAAGGCATCAATTCTTCTTTGGTCTTTCTTATTCATTTCCAGCTTTTGCATGCATATGAGGCAACTGAAAAATACTACGGCTTGGGTCAGGTGCACCTTAGTCCTCACAGTGCCATCTTTGCTTGTGAAGACTTTAAACAGGTCTTTTGCAGCAGATTTGCCCAATGCAATACATCATTTGGTTTCTTGACTGCTGCTTCCATGGGCATTGATAGTGGATCCAAGTAAAAGGAAATTTCTGAAAACTTCAATATTTTCTCTGTTTATCAGATGTTGGTTATTGGCCCAGTTGTGAGGATTTTTGTTTTCTTTATGTTGAGGAGGTAATCCACAGTGAAGGCTGAACTCTTTGATCTTCATCAGTAAGTGCTTCAAGTCCTCTGCTTTCAGCAAGCAAGACTAGTTGGTCATCTACATGTGGCAAGTTGTTAATGAAGCTTCCTCCCATTCTGATGTTGCATTCCTCTTCATATAGTCCAGTTTCTTGGAGTATTTGCTCAGCGTACAGATAGAATGAGTATGGTGAAAGGATACAACACTGATGCACAACTTTCCTCATTTTAAATCAGGCAATACTCCCTTGTGCTGATCAAACAACTGCCTCTTGATCTATGTCTGCATGAGCACAATTAAGTGTCTGGAAGTCCCATTATTCACAATGTTATCCATAATTTGTTGTGATCTACACAGCTGAATGCCTTTGCATTCATATTCAAGAAAATACAGGTAAACATCTGTGTTAGGCTGGGTTCTCTAGAGAAGCAAAACCACTAAAGCTTTGCAAAAACGGCAAAGAGGCCACATCTTCTGACCTCCTCTAATCCCACAAGAGGAAGGCAGAATCACCATCAATAGCCCAAGGCCTATTACTGCAAGGCCAGACATGCTGCCTCCCTCCAGCCCTTTTCACCAAACCGTTCCTCCCAAAGTACCACCACCTCTCTCCTGGGTTCGATAATTCGCTGCAGTGGCCACACAGAACTCAGATTATGGGGTTTATTAGGGAAGCACCAGGCTACAATTCAAGTTTAGAAAAAATGCTCAGTCTCTCTCCCAGCCCACCATCTCTCAGCCAAGTCTCTCACAGTCTCTTCCCCAGCAGTGCATGTCCCTCGGTGTCTTACTCAGCAATGCGTGTCTCTTGCATCTCTTTCCCGGCAGCACATGTCTCTTTCAGCAGCACGTCTTCCTCAACTAGCAGTCATAGAGAGTTCTGCCTCTAGAAGGCCTCCTTTAGAGCCCAGCAGAGTGGTCAAACTAGCCAGTCATAGCATCAGAACTCTAAGCACTTGAGAGTAAGCCTTCCATAACATTGCGTTGTGCCACCCCAACAGAAATAACCCAGGTGGATAACATTTACAATCAGGAGGAGCTCCTCAGTTGCTCATTCCACCACTGAGTTTACAATGATTTACAGGTAGAAAAGCCATACTAAGTAATTTACTACACTGCAAGGTTATATATATATGTAGAGAGAGAGATCTATCTTAGGAAAATGGCTCACACACTTATGTTGTTGTTGTTGTTATGTGCCATCAAGTCGGCCCAGACTTGGGTTTCCGAGGCAGTATCACTACAGAAGTAGGATTGCCCAACCTTCCTTCTGAGGAGTGGCTGGTGGGTTTGAACCACCAGCCTTCTGGTTAGCAGTCAAGTGCCTTAGGCACTATGCTACCAGAGCGCCTCACACTTATAGAAGCTAGCAAGTCCCAAGTTTCTGGATCAAACGTCAAGCTGAAGGCTTTTCCCAACTCACACAGCTGCAGGGACTCATGAGCTCAAGGTTGGCAGGCATTAAACTGGCTGTTGACTCCAATGGATGATGAATCCAAGATCAATCACCAAGCTTAACGGTGGATTGTTCACTCATGGACAGCTATAGGCAGCAGAACAGGATCCAGATCCACAGACGAGTTTGTGTTTTTCCCAGGATGTCCAGATATATATTGGAAGCAGGCCACACCCCTAGGGAAACTCCCTTTCAATGGACTGGCTGCTTAAAACATATACATGCAATCTCATCATGGGAATAACCACATCACAACTGCTTAAACCACTCAGAATAGTGGTCCAGCCATGTTGACACACAACCTCAACTATCACAACATCTTATTGGTATTCTCTGCTTTAAGTTCCCTACAATGCATGTGTTATCAACAATGATATCCTTCATCCCATGTCCTCTCCTGAATCTGGCTTGAATTTCTGGCAGTTTCCTGTTGATGTACTGCTGCAACTATTTTTGAATGACCTTCAACAAAATTTCACTTGCATGTGAAATTAATGATATTGTTGAATAATTTCTACATTCTGTTGCATCATCTTGCTTTAGAATGAGCACAAATATGGATTTCTTCAGTCAGTTGGCCAGGTAGCTGTCTTCCAAATTTCTTGGCATAGACAAGTGAGTGCTTCAAGCATTGCACCTGTTACCTATTTGTTGAAACATCTCACTTAATATTCCCTCAATTCCTGGAGCCTTGTTTTTCACAAATGCCTTCATCTCAGCTTGGGTTTCTTCCTTCAGTTCCATCGGTTCTTCATAATATGCTACCTATTCAAATGGTTGAATGTTGACCAATTCTTTTTGGTACAGTGATTGTGTATTCCTTCTATCTTCTTTTGATGCTTCCTGCATCGTTCAATATTTTTCCCATAGAATCCCTCAGTGTTGCAACTCAAGGTTTGAAATTTTTCTTCTGTTTTTATCAGCTTGAGAAATATTGAGCACATTCTTCCCTTTCGTTTTTCTAACTCCAAGTCTCTGCACATTTCACTGCAATACTTTACCTCTGTCTTCTTGAGCTGCCCTTTGAAATCTTCCGTTCAGCTCTTTTACTTCCTTATTTCTTCCATTTGGTTTAGCTATGCTCTGTTCAAGAGCAGGTTTTCAGAGTCTCTTGCAACATTCATTTTGGTCTTTTCTTTCTTTCCTGTCTTTTTAATGACCTTTTGCTTTCTTCATGTATGTCCTTGATGTCATCCCACAACTTGTCTGGCTTTGTCCATTCATGTTCAATGTGCCAAATCTATTGCTGGGATGGTCTCTAAATGCACGTGGGATATACTCAAAGTTGGACTTTAGCTCTTGTGGATGTGTTTCATTTTCTTCAGCTTCAACTTGGACTTGCATATGAACAATTAGCCTCTGGCCTTGTTCTGATTTCTCCAATGTCTTTTTCCATAGATGTAGCTGATTTGATTCTTGGTGAGGTCCATATGTACAATCACTTTTTAGGTTTTTGAAAGAAGGTATTTGCAATGAGTAAGTCATTGGTGTTGCAAAATTCTCTCATGATTTCTGGCATCTTTTCTATTACCAAGGCTATATTTTCCAAGTATAGATCCTTTTTCTTTGCTTCCAGCTTTTGCATTCCAATTATCAGTATTTATCAATGTACCTCGACTGCATGTATGATCAATTTCAGACTGCAGGAGTTGGCAAAATCTTCAATTTTTTCATCTTTGGCATTAGTTGTTGGTGTGTAAATTTGAATAATAGTTATATTAACTGATCTTTATAGGCATTTGGATATTATCCTATCACTGACAGCAATGTTCTTCAGAATGGATCTTGAAATGTTCTTTTTGATGATAACTGTGATACCATTCCTCTTTAATTTGTCATTCCTGCCATAGTAGACATAGATTGGGTTCTCTAGAGAAACAAAACCAGTAAAGCTTATATATTTAGAGAAAGAGAAATTTATCTTAGGAAAATGGCTCATACACTTATAGAAGCTGGCAAGTCCCAAGTTCTTGGATCAAACGTCAGGCTGGAGGCTTTTCCCGACTCATGCAGCTGCAGGGGCTGAGGAGCTCAAGGTTGGCAGGCAGTATACTGGCTCTTGACTCTAACGAATGACGAATCCAAGATCTCCAGGCCAAATGGTGGATTATTCCCTCACGGACAGTCGTAAGCAGAATCCCGATCCACAGAAGATCTTTTCCCAGGATGTCCATAAACATACTGGAAGCAGGCCACACCCCTAGGGAAACTCCCTTTCAATGGATTGGCTGCTCAAAACATATACATCTGATCCCATCATTGGAACAACCCACATCACAATTGCTTAAACCACACAGAATTGTGGTCCAGCCAAGGTGACACATACCTCCAACTATTACAGTCCACACCTTGTCAACCTGGCAGTTGTACACATCTTCTTAACCATATATAATCTCTAAATAAGGATAATTATAAAGCCAT